AGCGAGTGAAATCTTGAAAGCTAGCGAGATCAGGATGGTCTCACGAGGCTACGTGAACGCAGGGAGGATCCATCACACTCACCTTCTGGCTCACCCTATGATGGGGATCAAGTCTGATGGAGAACTGACGGTTTTCTCCTGTGAACCCCCTTTATACCAAAACGCTGCCAATGCGCCATTAAACAGTAGCTTTAGGTTAGAAACACGTTCAGCGGTCGTCTAGAACACGTCAGATATGTTGATATGCGTAGGAGATGAGTTCTTTACAAGTTACGTATCAGTTATGCACAAGTTACTCATAGGTTTTGGATAAGCTAGACTTATGAGTAACGTACACTTAACGTATGTCAACATTCAGATAATTTATGTGTAACTTATGATCAACGTATGAGCATACGCTGGCATACACATCGACATATTTGCAGAATGTCGACGTGTCCCTGCGTACTTCAGCGTGCTCATAACTTATACAAAAACACTTATCCAACGTCTGCCAGTGTTTTTGCCAGATTCTCCTTATGTCAGGCATATGCTGGTCTAAACCGTCAAGGTTTGACCGGAACTCTAAACGTGTTTTTCCAGTTAAAACTTATTTTCCTTTCTGTTCCTAATACCTTCCATTTCAAATCCTGAATATCAGCTTGTTTTTTTTCAATATTGTACAAAAGTATTAACTCAGGCTGCACTCCTGCTGGACGAGGCAATGAGACTCATCTTACTGATGCCTTAAATACTAGTGTGAGATGATTAGGATTCCTTTAGATACAAAGTTAGTCTCCATCCCTCTATTTGTCCCAGAGTGTCTGAACCTTGTCTTGGTAAAGTTTCATGTATTTAACCCCCAGATTTTCCTTGAGTATTGAGGTAGTGCAATCATTTTCTCTGACCAGACCATTGTCAAATACTGTATCTGTTCTCCCCTGCAAGGATTAAAAAGAGCTGCTTGAATAGAGAACACTGATCTTATTCTTGTTGAATAAGGCTAAGGTCCTTTTTTTCTGATCCTATTAAGAAAAACATGGATCTAACCTGACAAAAGCTGAAAAACACAGTGAGGATTTCACTGAACTAGAAATACCTCTATGGATTTATTATTTGCTGACAATAATTCTACATCTTCATATCAAACACGTTTGAACTTATCCAGTTCAAGGTTTAGAGATAAGAACCACAAACAGCCCCCCAAGTCTTTTTGATTTACATTTTATTTGACAAGACAGTGAATTGAAAAACATGTACAATATAATTCCCCAAAAGCATACAAAATGATAAGTGATCAGTGATGCATAAGAAAATGAAAGGAAATCAATAACATTCACAAAAATATGACTACATTTCCAGTGTATGAGAGTGGCTTTGTTCTTTTCAGCATTCCCATTTCACCTCCCATGTTTGTGTTTTTTCCTCATTCCATCAGCGGCTCGACTGTCAAAGAATAAATGCGAGAATTGAAAGGCTAAAAATAACAAAAGAAGGCACGTCTGGCTCCGTGACGAAAAGCTGAAGTGACAAATGATGAAGAAGAGAGACAGAAGTGGATGAAAACGATGGAGGCATAATTAGGGCTAAATGAAGGAGAGGGTTGAGACTGAACCTTATCGTTGACGTGCACAGCTTATGTTTGTGGCGTTTAACCCGTAATTGTGGAGGTGGGGAGACCGAGCAGGCACCTGGGCCACAATGCAAAACAGAGACTGAAGGGACAAACTAACAGAACTACTGCAATACCTTCACATTATGAATGAGGGGCTTCGGCCGGTCAATTCACAGATTCCTTCTTTCTTTGTCGATTTTCGTTTAAGCGTCGGCCTTCACGACTATCAGTAGAATATAATACAATCCAAGGTAGCTCTAAATGACACAGCTCTATTCAACACGAGGCGCTTGGTAAAAGCAAATGATTCCCTAAATGAAACGGCAGAACCAGAACTCAATAAGGGAATGCTTGCAGACTCATTGGTCTCTCATATTATGTGTCCTGGTGATTGTCTTCTTCCCTCTTTCCTCAAACACATTAATCCACAGGAAGCTAAACATTCATTCATTTTGTGAAATTAGTTTACAGACAAAAAGAGGCAAAAGCATCACATTACTCCCCTCTTTGAAGACAGTTTTTGTTCTGCCGCAAGGCTATAAAATACATCACACATGATTGTCCAACACTACAACGAAAAAGCGAATTAAAAAACCTGGGCAGCTAATGTGACACAAGCGCTTTCTGCAAAGAATGGAAATAGGTTTCCTTGCTCAAATATCCATGCAGCATGCACACTGGGGCCTCAGATTAGATAATGAAAGGTTTCACTCCATCAGTACTTCTTCTTTTTAACTGAATGGTGATACATTTTTTATAAAACAATCAAAACTTATAGTAAAAACAGTAATCATCTACTTGTCACAGATCTGTTGGGAAAACATCTTTAAAAAAATTATAAATTTACCCTTTGTGGACATTTTATTTTTGTTTAAAACTTAAAGTCGTAGGGAAACGGATGTCCCGACCGTCGCATTTCCGAATTCTCCCGAATCGTATATGAGAGAATAAAGTGAATGTGATTGGTCGTTTATCAAGAAGGTGGGATTGTTGTGGCGGAAGGTTCGCAAGCATGTTTGGTTGTAGCCGGTGTCTCTGGAGCATCTTGCTAACCAGTTAGCAACTTAGTGCTAGCAGGTTCCCAATGGGGAATTCCATTGGGACCAAGTAGCACTAAAATGGTGACTTAGAAACGACGCTGTCAAGGAACGCTATGGACAGCGGAAACATGCAAGAGGAGGAGAGTTTAGTGTCGGAGGTCGTGGATGAGTCTCCTCCGTCATCCATTTTTTATTTAGAGGAGGAAAGCGGGGACAAAGCAAGAGGACGCAAGGGCGGCAGAAGCTTGGTTTGGTGTAGAAGGCTTAGAGCCGTACATGTTTGAGCCCTTGCCTCGCAACGCTGCCAGTTCTGTTAGCTCTACGCCTGCTGAAGAAACAGACGTTCATCCCCGTGAACACTGGGACGGAACTCATGTTAAAATAAATTATTTTTATTTCTTATTTCAGCCGATGCGTATATTTGCTGCGACATATGAATCAAGATGCTATGACCGAAAACATTTGATTGACAGATGACCGTTAATATACGATTGGCCGAATTTAGGTGTACAAGCTGACGTATAACTAACTGGCCTGCATAAGATGACGAAAAAACCCCACAGGTTTTAAGACAGGATTTTTTTTTAATACAAATTTTCGAAATTTTGGGACAATACTATCTTATAAAGAGTACATTTATATAAATGATTAAGACAGAATGATTTGACATTTAAATATGACTTCCCTAGGACTTTAAGATCAGTCAGTTTCTCGTCTGCAGGAGTTTGTGAAGAATCACAGAGAAATACTGGAAGCTAACCACTACTTTAGCTAACAGCTAATCATGCTAATAGTTACTTCAAACAATCTGGAACATATTTATGTTGATAAAAATAACTTTAAACTTAAAAAAATAATAATATACGCAAATTAATTTAATCATTTTTTTTACTAGCAACATGCTGGCTTCAGTTTTAAAAACTGAATATCTACGTCACCACAGAACAGCCATCAGTCAGCTTAGCTTTCTTGTTCCAATATCTATGCTAAAATCAACAAAAACACGAAATAATAAAAAGCATAATATATTGTAAAGTACATTAGTACATCATCAATAAATGTAGCTGTAGAAAAATGTTGGAATTTGCTGAGTCATTGCTAGCTGTGAGTAGACGTTAGCTTCCTAAAATCTTTATAGCATTGCTAATACATTTTAACAGATTTTAAGTATCTTATCCCTAATTTATGCCAATTACTTTATCAATTTTTTTTTTGTATTACTATTTTAACAACCTATGGATCAAAGAAGTGGCCTGCATTGTTTTTTTTCCTGGACTTAAAGTCAAACCAGTCTGTTCCCAAAGACATCTAAGCAATTATTTTACAAAAAAAGATGCTGCTTCACTGACTACCTGTTAGCTTAAGAAACAGTTCACTTCCTTAATAAAGATTTCTAAATGATTAAGCATACTGCAGTTGAATGTTGCAAACAGTAGGGAAGATATTGACTACATGTAATTAATCCACAAATCCTCACATAAAAACAAATGTTCCTCTGTCTTTGACATATGTAAGGAAAAAAGTGTATTAGGTGCCTAAGTTTAAGAAAAGTAAGAGACTCTCTTCCTTTTCATTCACTCAGCTTTTACATGTGTTGACCAGGTCTACAAATCTGTTGTTTATCCGCTGCCTATGTGCTCTAGCGGGTGATTATAACTGGCACGGTCAGCCCCAGCCTGTTTTCTGACAGCCAACACGATGAACTCAGGATGATTTGGATGGATCGAGAGAGATTAGGCATGGTGAGAAAAGAAAGACTGCCTTCCTATCTGTGTCGCACTCTGCGGCTGAAAGAAAAGGCAATTCAGTGCCTACTGTATTTTTGGATTTGTGCTGAAGACAAACAGAGGCAGCCTGGGGAGCTGTCACACAACACAAAAGAACACATGACTGAAATTAGATTTAAGCTGGTGGAGTGTATGACCATGACAGATGCATCAAAACACCGATTGTAAGAAAAAAAAAATAAAGCAGCGTTCTTTTCAGATATTCAGAGATGCTTTTACAAATGATGGGGTTTTTTTGAGTGGGGGGGCAAACAGCCTCGGGAAAGTGTTTCAACAAGCCACTGATCATGCCATGCAGAGCAATATGAACAAGGAATAAAATCCACACCATCGATTTTTTTTATACTCAAAACATCTTCGTATTAAGTGACAACTTTAATGTACTCGTGGAAAAAAAAAATAGTAATATACACTTTGCTTTTTTTTTTTTTAAGTCTTTCTTTCAACGTTTATCTGACTTTCATCCCCTGTACAGAGGCACCGATAACACCCAAACCTGTTTATTTTTTTTTTATATATATGCACATTTCACCAACAATATATTATAAATCAATATTATCAATGCTATTTACAATCGTTATCATTTGGTACCGTTTGACATCTGTGTTGACCAATTTTTAGTTTCAGCCAGAGGACATTAGGGCAGAGAGGGTGGGATAACTTTTGTCCCCCTTATTAGCTAAAATGCAAAAATGATCTGCACACATCCGAATGTGTGATCATGTCAAATAGTTGCAATGATTGTAATGGCAGTTTCTCCAATATGTACTAAACTCTTACACATGATGGCAAATGTTCTGTATATCTTTTAAAAATAGTTCACAACACTTTGATGAAGGGGGAACAAAAAAACAGTGTCTTTGTGTGACAGCTTGTGAATTTCTACTAACCCTGTTGTGTTTATTGTTGCAAGCTGATTTACACAGCTGTGATGCCACCAGCTTGTGCAATTAACACAGCCAATACGGATCACAGCATCTTAATTACGTGATGTTGCCAGGTTACAGAGCCTCCAATTCTGTCTTGTCCCCTTTGTTCGTGCTAACGAAGCCTCCGCTGTTCAGACAGCAGCGCCGCCAGAACATTAACTTTTCTACTTTTTGTTATATAAGAGGCTCATTTTAGGAAATTTCAAAGTTGTGAATTGTTTTCTTAAAAACTCAAAATAGCCCATGACGACCAACTAAAACATGTTTTTAGTCATTTTTGCAAACTATAGCAGTAACTGAGCCATGATGCATCTGCTTTCCCTTGATCTACCTTGAAAAACCTGCAGCTTAATTAGAAACTTAGTAGCCTGAGCATGACTTGGATGTAATGCATTTATTTATAAAAGATCTCACAGATGGCAGCTCAGAAACCAAGCAAGAAAGTCCACAGATTTGTCTGTAAACATGCTGCAGTGGGTAACGCTAGTCTGCAAGGTGGGAGGATTACGATTAGCTACAATCCATCTCTTAACATGATAGTGACCATAGCGTACAGACAGGAGAACAAAGGAGGGCATAGAGCAGCTGTAAATGCTCCTGATTGGCCCAACCTGTCTCTACCAATCCAACATGGCCAATTATAAGAGGATCTTCAGTGAAATGAGTAGAAAAACATCAAATAGCGTATGCAAAGATCCTTGAGTGTGAATACTTAAGATGAAATGATTTTATAGATAAAAAAAAAAATCCAAAGACATAACTTTAAGCATGTTTTCAGTTGTGATTAAGGGCTATTTTTAAGTTTTTACAATAAGGAAACAAAGTCTGAATGGAGATCTTAATAAAGAAAGAACTAAAGAGGTGTGAATACTTTCTGGCTTTGTTCGTCAGTGTGTTGCTGAGGCAGGAATGTGAAAGCTTCTGTTTTCAGAACAGATCAGAGGTGGATGTACTTTCCCAATAACTGAAGTTTCCCAATAACTGAAGTTTCCCAATAACAGAAGTTGGAATTAAAATGGATTAAAGTATTCTAAAAAAAAAAAAAAAACTACTAACTACTATGTCCCACGGCTGTAAACAGACGAGCTCCCTCTCATACATTAATAACAATTCTGTGAAGTTAAAAGTCATGGCACAAATGTTGCATAAAACACTTTGTTAAACCCAAAACTAGGTGGTTTTCTGGCTGTTTTTGGTGTTTGTGTGGATTTCAATTAGTTACCCATCAGAGCTCCGGTTCGCCTATATTACAATCAGCACTGCATTTTAAAGCCCGCCTCATCTTATGCGTCATCACATATGATTTCAAAGGCTTTCTGGCTTGAGAAGGTTGCAACTTAAACTAACTTAATGTCACAAGAGCTTTAAAAAAAACTGAGAAAAATAAAAGGCTTGATGTTTCTGTTAAGCGAGCTTTGTAAATTCCTCCTGAAATAAAAGTTCAGCTAAGTTGTAAACATGAAAGGAAACGTGAATACACTTTAACCCATGCCTCCCACTTAGAAAGAAAATCATCTAATACCATCCATAAGCAGGTTACTTTAAAACTTTAAAGGTTAAATTCACAATAAAAAGTGGAAACAGGTGTCGTGGTCTCTCCTGTTGTTTTCTTGCTGATTTCGGTGACCTGAAACTTTCCCGTCCGCCTCTGATGTGGTGGTTTTGTTGCTACGGTTACACATACATGGGGGTGGATACAAAGCTCTCGCCACGAGGAATGTTGGCAGATGAGGGCCCGTGGTTGGACGAATCGTTGCCGTGGTGACTGTCAGCAGCATCCTTGTTCCGGACAGGAGGGGCTCCACCGTTCAGGGCTTCGGTGGCCTCCTCATCCATGATCTGAAAAGTTCAACACAGTCATGTTTAGAATCAGATATTTGATGAGGATAAAAATGACAGAATTTAAAAAGTCCCACATCTAATCTAATCTGTGTCCTCTTTACGTTAATAGTGGTTTATTTCAATTTTTTTTAGGCTTTTCCAGTTTTTTTTTTAGGTAGGGTTGGGGTAGACTGAGAGCACAGAAGAGGATTAGGGCCACTAAAGAAACCAAAAAAAAATGAACTGATTTTTAAATATGTTTTCAGTTTAAATTCTGTAATTCTGACTTTAATCTCAGAATTCTGACATTTTTTTCTCAGAATTCTGACTTTAATCTTAGAATTATGACTTTTTTTTCTCAAAATTATGACTTTAATTTCAGAATTCTATCTTTTCTTCTCAGAATTCTGACTTTTTCCTCATAATTCTGACTTTAATCTCAGAATTCTGCTTTTTTTTCCTCAGAATTTTGACTTTAATCTCAGAATTCTGACTTTTTCCTTGTAATTCTGACTTTAATCTCAGAATTCTTTTTTTTCTCAGAATTTTGACTTTAATCTCAGAATTCTGACTTTTTTCCTCATAATTCTGACTTTAATCTCAGAATTCTGCTTTTTTTTCTCAGAATTTTGACTTTAATCTCAGAATTTTGACTTTTTTCTCAGAATTCTGACTTTTTCCCCGTAATTCTGACTTTAATCTCAGAATTCTGAGTTTTTTTTCTCATATTACCAATTTAAAAATCAGTTAACCTTTTTTTCAGTGGCCCTAATCCTTTTCTGTACTGACAGTGACATGCAATATAAAACAAAAACCTACTGTGTGCATCAATATCTCACTATAGCTGTGGTCAGGCCTTTATCAAAGAAAATAAAATAGTATTTTAAGCCAGCAAGTCTCCCAACAAATGTGAAATAAACTAATTAAATTGTTTTCCTCACTCCTGTAGTTTCCAACAGCATATTGAAATGAAGAAGAAAGTAAGAAAGATTTGACAGCTCTCTATTAGTCATTTATGAGTCTTGTTCTAGTTACTTATTTTTGCATTTAACTATAAAATAAAAATAGTATTCGAAATGCAACTCTTTAGTGTAATTTGGTGATTCTGCTTTGCTTCAATCAAGTCCAAACATAAAATAACACATATAACAGGAATACTCAATCAAGAGCAACTATCCTGCACTTTTCTGATGCACGCCATTTTTAACACACCTGAATATGAAATGAGTGTGTCGTTATCCTGCCTCCGCTGAGCTAAATGAGGGGATTGAGCCTTTAGATTCAGGGGTGTTAGAGAAGAGATGCATCTAAAAGTTGCAGGATGGTAGCTGTGGAAGACTGGACAACTAAATATTGATTATTTTAAATAAAACCAACAGGTTATTTAAATGTTTGTAGAAAACTGATCTGTAAATGTGTATTGTTTTAATAAAAAAAAAAAAAAGAGAACAAGAAATAAAACAAGGGCAGCTTGAGGCAAACTTTTAAAAAATTATTTTACTATTTAGCCAAATCTAATAAAGAGGCATCAATTATTTTCAATTGTCATTGATATCACCGTAAAAGACAATAAAAAATGGTTAAAGTTAAATGCCCATGTTTACACACAGCAACACAAGGGGCCTCGAATGGCCCCTGGACCGTACCTTGTACAACCTGAGCCTTAGAATATTCTTGATATTCTCTAAAATTAAAAACTGATCAAAAATTATTAGGAAATTATTGCAAGTATCAACCACTAATAAAAAAAAAACATTGGCCTTTAAGCGTTTGTCATAAATATAAATAGTCAGGTGAAAAGGAAGGAAACCGAAGTTTATAATGGTTTGTGTGTGTCAGACCTTTAAGAAAACAATCTGATCTTCACCAGCTTCTAAGATTATTTAAATGCCACAATGCCAATATTTATGAAAATAAAAACAGGAATGAAAGGGAAAAGATGTTAGTAGGTAGAAAAACAAAGCCCACTGGTTCTGCTTTCAAAAGAATTTAAGAATGAAGGAAGCCTCAACATGCTGCCATGAAAAATCATCTCATCAGATGATCAACATTTCTATGACCAAGTCTGTAAAAGTAGCAGCTTTTGGACATTCTACAGAGAAAAGTGTTATTTCCTTGTGGGAAAAAAAAATCAAGATGGATGCCAAGCTTTCCATGCGTGGACCTCGAAGTAGATTTACTGATGTTGAAATGCTTAAAGAAACAGCAAGGTCTCTATGAAGGGAAACTATAAACATCAACTTCTTAAAGTCTCTATTTCTTCTTTTCTAAGCTTTCCAAAGTCAACTCAAAGCGTATAAGAGGAAATATTGCTTTGCCACTAAGGAGTATTCATTTTTATGCAATATTAGTTGTTTTCATCCAACCCTGAAGAAAGACAACAGTGATGGTAAAACCTATTAATTCAATGATAAATTATGGTAAAAAAGGTTTATTTTTGCCTGAAATCATAAAATCAATGTTTTGTTGTTGGATTTTAATGATAGACTTTATTGAATCAATGTATGCATTTGTTGCTGGTGGCCTTGCAGCCTTTTTTTTTTTTTTTTATTGTCATTACATTGTCACAAGTGCAGATCAACAGCAGTGTGCTGCCATTGTGCGCCAGGGAAGCAGTGTGGGATTAAGGGTCCTTGCTCAGGGGGCTCGAGTGACAGTCCGTGGGAGTGGGGCTCAAATTCAGAACCTAAGGATTCCAAGCGCGGCACGCTAACTGCTAGGCCGCCAAAGCAGGCATTTAGCGTAAAGGGACCCACACTGGAAGCTCATTCCCCCCAGCTGGGATACGAACCCAGGCTTCCTGTTTGCAGGACAGGTGACTTACCACTTGCGCCAGCCAGACGCTAGCAGATTTAACTTTATTGATCTCGCATTGGAGAAATTTACCTCTGCATTTAACCCATCCCCTTGGGGAGCAGTGGGCTGCCATTGTACAGTAGGACGCCAAGGGTCTTGCTCAGAGAGCCAGAGTGGCAGTCTGTGGAAGTGGGTTTCAAATAGGGCTGAACAATTAATCGCATTTTCAATATAATCGCTATTGAAAAAAAAGCAATTTCCAATTCGCGGACGTCTGCAATTTTTGGCTATGTAACAATTAGTGAATCAGACGCGTTCTTTAGGTGTCAGTAAAATGTTTAAAGTGGATTTGCCTCCACATGGAAGGGAAGACAGTTGCAGCAGTGAGATAATCTAATTTTATTACTTGTTTTTAGAGTTTAT